ACTATTTTTTCAATTGTTTCTAATACATTCATAGTTGTTCATTGAAGCACTTTTAAAAGTCTGTTTTAAAATCTTTGTCAGATAATCCTTACATCTCTGTTACCTTGGTGTTGGCATCTATTAATTGTCTATTTAATTCACTTTTATATCTTCCTGGTTCTTGCTATGACCCAAATAGTCCCTTCCTGGATGTGCATGTACCCAGAAGGAACTCTTGCCTGAGCACATGAAGAGATATATTCAAGAATACTTACAGAAGCATTGTAAAAGTAAAATAATTCTTAGAGCAACCCAAAAGTCAATCAACAGTAAAATAAAATTAAAGGTAAAGATGTATTTATACAACAGAATACTATAGAGTAGTGTAGATGAATGAACTGCATTAACATGAATAAATCCAATACCATAATGATTGAAAAAAGCAAACCTACAGTTGATCCATATTATATGAATTGTTTTCTATAAATTGTGACCCCCTAAAATCCCCCTAACATATTATTTAGGAACATATGCACATCTGTTGCAATGATAAAGAAGAACAAGGATTAAGAATCCAACTGGCATAAGATTTCTTATAAAAAATTGTAAACCCGAAATTGATATATTAATGATTTAAAATTTCCAAGCAAGAATTCTATATCTGGTCAAATCAACAATCAAGTATGAGGGAAAACTAAGTGAATTTTCGGACATGCGGAGTCACAGAAAGTTTTTTTGTGTGTGCACCCTCTTTCTGGAAGCCACTTAAGGATATACTGTAGCAAAGGGAGGGAATTAAAAAAGAAAGAAAGAGATAAGGGATCTATCAAACAATGGACTCAACCAGAAGAGATATGAAGACAAGATCACAGTTTTGTACAAACAGACATCATTTAATCCAGGTGAAGCAGAAAAACAGAGGGCCTGAGATTAGGAAATATGGGAAGCTGAATTATTGATTGAGATTTTGAAAATATGGTAAAGCCAACTGATGGAGTCTAAAATGATGAACCTATTTGATCTTGATTTTAGAAACGTTCTATTCTCAATGGCTTAGGAAACACAACATTGAATCCAAAGAGCAGGAAAGATAGTCCTTATTAATAAGCAACATGACTTTGCAATGAACAATATTTTGAGA